GGCCTGTAGCCCAGCTCCTCACACCAGAGCAAAAACCCCACCATCAAGGAATAGCTGTTCGGCGTCAGCAAGGCCGGAGGAAGCCCTACCATGTCCAGGTACTCAGTGATGAAAGGGTGAAGGGGGAACCTCAACCCCTTAGCGAAACTCATCGGGTATACTCCAAAGTATCCCGGTGGCGGAAGAAGAACATGGTCCGTCGGCCTGGGTGCCCTAACCCGCCCAAACGGCCCCACATACATCTGGGCAACAAGATAGTCGGCCGCACTGCTCTCCGGCTTAATCAAAAAGATGTTGGTGAGATCCAGGTAGGAGAGGCCCGGCCCACTCTTCGGCCTCCTCACCCTCTTTGGCTTATCTTCTCCCTTCACGGCAGACACCGGCCTCGGGCAGGGAATGACAGCGGAAGTGGACGCCCCGTCCACCACTCGGGACGCACCTGCGTCCTCACCCTTTGAAGAAGAGGCGGACTCCTTGTCCTCGACCTCATCGTCCACCGGTTCCTCGGACTTGTAAGGACTCAAGTGTTGTATCTCCTCCTCGAACTCCTCGAGCACCTCATAGTCAAGTGACCTCGTGGAGGGCTGATCGTCGTAGGGATAGTAGTCTTCGTTCAAACTCTTCATCATAACTACTACTACGAGCCTAAGGAGATTAACCTAGGATCTAAGGGTGTTCAAACGCCTAACACTAGATCACTAGCCTAGGAAGCAAAGTATGAAAAGTGAGGAAGATTGCGATGAACACTAACCTTGAACACGAAGAACACGAAGAACAAGCTTTGGAGTTTATCTCTCTAGAAAATTGGCCAGCACTTCGACAAATTCAGAATGCAAATACGTTTCTCGTCGGAGGGGGAGGGGTATTTATAGAACCCCCCACCCAACGGTCACTACACGTGGCACCCTCCCAATGGCCACATCAGCGGTCACCAATGGGAGGCCACCACGTCACCAACGGGCCAAACTACATGTCAACAGCCCACTGGCAAAGCAGACTCTACGGCCTACACACGTGCCGACTTCACGAGAGCCAGCAACCGCCCACATCGTCCTACTTTCTCGCCAGCGCCCACAACGTCCTACTTGCTCGCCAAGACCACAAATACCAAACAATGAGGGGATGTCAACGGCTAGGAACGTAATGCACGCCCGTAACGGCCACAGAACAAAAGGAACAAAGAGCCCACAGCCATCGGTTCCTCGTAATGATCCTTGCTGATAACTCTCTACAATCGATCTGCGCACAAGGGTTCTCCCACAGGGTTACCTTGGCCAGAAAATCGCCATGAGGGTTGGATTCAGGGGGACTACGGAGAGGCCGCTTCGGCCAGGGACTCAAGCAACTCCTTCACCCCTCACACTCTTCGGTCTGAAGCAGTGGGGGACTGGGGGGACTACATCGGCCTCAACAAAACAAAAAGGAACAATACAAAGAACATGAATGTAACCACAAAGCATGGCCACATCGTCCACGCATCACAATGGCGCCTCGTCGGCCAGAGGCACATAACATCATCAACAACGGCCAAAAGGAGTGCGCGAGCACCCTCATCGGCCACCCAAAGGAAAGGACGCCATCGTCTTCAAAGCAAGGAACCACCTCAACGGCCTCATCGGCCCAAACATAAACTTCAACCATCAACGTCCAGGAAAGGGAAAGCGTGCCTTCAACGGCCGCCATTGAAACAAGACACTCATCATCCCCAAACGAACACATTAAGGAAACAACGGCCTCCCCGCCCACAGCGAGGAACAGGTAACGGCCAAAGCACAGAACAGGATCACCAAAAAGGAAACAACGCCAACGCCGTAACAGCTAACGGCCCGGGAATTCCCGCATCGGCCAAAAGCACTGAAACACGGGAATCTACTCTCCTTCACTTCGTCTACGTCTCAGCTTAGAGAGTGGGGGACTCCTGATGGAGTATATGGGTCTGAGCCCCCGGACCCACATACTCGGAAGAACAGAAAGCACAAGACACAGAGTGGCGCCCTCGTCGGCCAAGACGCCCCCGTCGGCCGAAAAGGGGCCAACTCAGATTATGGCCCTGAGCCCAAGGAACCCGGGTGCCCTCGTCGGCCGTGCCCTCGTCGGCCACGCCCTCGTCGGCCATGAAGACCTCCCAGAACCGGATTTTACACTTGCTCATTTGTACAGCCCATTAGTGGCTTTGTATTCGGCCCAGTAGCGGTCCAGTTGTAAATGGGCCTCCCAAGCCCAAGGCTTGGGAGCCCAGCCCGTATTTTCTCTATAAATACTCCCCTTGGGAGTAGTTATGGGGGTTACAAAATCATTCTATTGAAGCATATTATTGCACTTCTCTCTCTAGCTCTCACTTCTCTCTAGATATACTCTATCAGTATGATTTTTGAGAAATCTTTTGATGGATTATAGATGTTGTTCTACACGTTTAAAAGTGTAGAAAATTGATATAACGTGTTGGTATTTAACTTAGAAGAGTCGTTGAATCGATAGGAATTGAAACCGACGCAAACCGCCGTAGAAGGGTGCTGTTTTCGTGCTGCAGGGCCCGAAAGCCGCCCAGCCTTTGCAAAAGCCGCCCGGCTTTTGCCTTCTGTCCAGCTGGTTCATTTTTGATCAGTCCAGAATGGGGGATAACTGAAGGGCTTCACAAAGGCAGCTAGTTAAGCACATCATAAGGTGAGGATGGCTGACTATATTGTTTATAACTAGTGGGTTAATTCATGAGTTTGCCTAATTTATAAAAGCATGGTTTTAATTAATCAATATGCCTAATAAAGTGTCAATTGATCATCTTGTTGTATATGAAGAGTTGATGCATGATTGATTGAACTATGAGTAATTGGAGCGTGATTACTTGTTATATTTGAGATGTTATTTTTGTTGATTTAGTGAAGAACTAATGAAATGATTTATTAATCACTATTGAATTGTATTGACTTTATGGTTAGTAAAGTCAATATATAATGAAGTGAGAATGAGTCATGGCATGCCCGCCATGTTCGTTTGATAGGGGAAGACAAGTTGAACTAGGAACAACTCGGGTAGTACTAAGTGACTAGCCCGAGGTTGTTGTATGAGCATTAATAAAATTGATCCTAAGTTTAGGATCGTGAAGCTTTGTGACTAAGGTATTCACTTGGGATAGCCTTAGATGATTTAAATGGTATATGAATCCTAGGATTGGATTGTTGATATTATTTTCCTGGTGGTCTTTAGGACGTCCGCAATTGATTGTTTGATTGGTAGCAAGGGTCATGACTCGGCTCTAGTCTAAGGATAGATGCCCGACCACATGGACTTGCTAATGGATAGGTGGGAGACATATATAGGCCGGATGAGTCTAAGGATCGTGCCGGATTGCATGAGCTCATAATAGAATAGATGTAAGGACCATGGCCCCGCCCGACTTTAGAGAACGTGTTGGATAGCATGGACTTACAGCGTGATCACGTATAAGGGTGGAATCCGAATCAGAGACCTAACAGGGCTCTGATAGCGGTAACACATAATTAAGATAGGAATCCGAATGGGTCTTACCTTCCTACGGGAATAGGGTATAAGTCCAGGGGTGGGATGCTCGACTCCGACCGAGTGCCCTACGGGGTCTCGGATAGCGGTGAGAGGTCCTGTATGATTGATGTGACATTTGGGTTGAATTATGTGAATTATTAATGAAATGAATTATCACACGGTGATACGAATTGTATTGTTAAATACAAATGGGTTAACAAATTATTTTTGGGCAATACAAAGGGTTTGTGACAAATACAAAAGGGCCTATGAGCCAACTATTTGACTTTATATACTTATTTATGATTTGAAAGGGGTAACTAGGGGTTATTTCCTAGAATATGATATCACTCTATGTTGAGGGTCTTAAAGATTGAAACATTAATTATATGCAGTATAGTTGTCATTGTAGTTTTCAAATGCTTCAAAGTACTGACCTCCCCTTCACGGGGGAGGCCACCTCACAGTTTTCAGGTAAAAGCTAGAGCTTGCTTCCTGTGCCCGTTGCTTCGGGAATTCTTGGAGAGAAGACGTGGTTCGTGCTTTCTCCGTTTCTGTTTTCAAAACTATTGCAATAATGCTCATGGATAATATTTTCTGATAAACTATTTGGGGGTTTGTATGCCTAACTTTGCCGAGTGTGGTTTGAACATTTGTAATACTATTTCCGCTGCTTTAAATGAATATTTTACATTATGTTTGTTTATGGATGTACTATGTGTGAATGATATTCATGACGCCTAGTATAGTATGGATATGTTTGACTGAGGTTGACTATTCGTACTGTACGGCGGATTGTTGACGTGTCCGGGTAGGTCCGGGGCGTGACAATATGCCCACGGGCGAAGCCAGGGCACTGGGCAGGACTAGACCGGTACAAAAAATATTTTTGAATTTTTTTTACACGGAATTTCTTACACTAAAAGTATAGACATTTTTAAAATTTGGGTTGAGCTAGGACCGGGAGTGACCCTCCCCTAGCTATGGCCATGTATATGCCTATAACTACAACAATTCGTTAACCACTCATTTTAGTAAAGAGAACTGTTTGTGATTGTGAAAAATGATTTGTCTGTGCACAAACAGTTCAAGGTCACAAACAATTACGAGTATTAACTTACTGAACGCGCACGTAAGTCAGTGTGAGAAATACTCTCTCCGTCCCAATTTGATTTGCAAAATTTCCTTTTTTGGTTGTCCCAAAATGATTTTCCACTTTCTATTTTAGGTATGTGAATAAGAATAAATTGACAAATTTACCCTTACTTTTACTTTTTCCCCATTAACTTAAAAACATCAATTTTTAAAAAGATCGGCAAAAGTGTAAAAAACAAGCATCATTTATTATCACTTTTTAATCCTTGTGCCGATCAAAGTTTGTAATTCAATTCAAGAAGGGAGTAACATTTTTGAAAATTTATTTTGAGAATTGAGATGGCTCCATCAACACGAAAGACAATAAAAATGGAGTTCCTATGACAATATCCATCACTCCTACGTGTCTACTGCAGCATTTCGACTCAACACTGTACTGCTATTACATCGGCAGGACAATTTGAAGACTGAAATGAAAAGCATGGCCTCCATTATTACAAATAAAAGCGCCTGCGTACGTACGTGCGGGCAGCGCGCCTGCCCGCTCCTAAAAGAAGGCCTCACTTTTGTCTCAAATTTGGTCCCTTTTCACATTCTTGGGAGGGCCCGGTTCTGATGCGTGAGCCGCACGTGGCGCGCAACCGCGTCCGCCCTGACCGGGCGGCTTCACGGGCACCGCTGCCAAAAGCAAAGTGAGAAGTAGCATCAGCAAAGCCCCAGCCTTGCCTGCTTTTTCCTCAACATACACACACCAACACGTATTCACTAAGTTTTGGATTTTGGAGTATATATTGTATACCTACCCGTCGAATCATATATCTGTTCAGAACAATACGGACAGAGAGGAGGAGGAATCAGAGAATATGATGGAGGACGGAGATATATCTGGGGAAAAGGAAATGGAAGACGTTGAATTGGGAGCAAGCAATAATAGCGAGCAGGAGATTCGCAACAGCGACAGTAACAATGGTAAAGCGGAGATATGTCTGGCGACGGCGTCGTCGATGTTTCCGGGGTTCAGATTTTCGCCGACGGACCAGGAGTTGATATCGTATTACCTGAAGAAGAAATTGGAAGGGATTGATAGTTGCGTGGAGCTCATCTCGGAAGTTGAGATTTGGAGACACGAGCCTTGGGACTTGCCCGGTACTCTACCTTTCCTTCCCTTTTCATTTCTTTCTAAAAAATCACGGTTCAATTTTCAATACACGTTTTATTCGATTTGTGAAGTACAAATAAATAAACTGCTCGTTTAAAAAGTTTTTGCTTTGATATAAAGTAAAATTGAGTACTTCGAAATGGTTTAAACTTCAGGGAACTTTACTGAATGCTGAGTGCATGTTTGGGTTTTAGTTTGTAAATTTCTTTTGTTAAGAAATAGTTTGAAATGGTTTAAAGCTCAAACTTCAGTGTACTTCATCAAAACAACTTTCAGTTTACCGAAAAGGCCATTGCATAAAACTTAATTAGGTGAATGAGTTCATGTGAATGAGGTTTGTGTTTTGAGGTAAGTTCAGTAAAGTGAAAGTTGATTGGATAGTATAAGATTTATAAGTTCCTCTCTAGTCCTCTTGATGAGTTAGAATTGAAATAAACAACCTTATAAACGGTGAATTAAAATTGAAATAAAATCAAGTTTTTGGTAAATTGAATGTATATGGTATTTTTAGTGGATTCTTTATAGGCCTATTCATTGTCCAGGAACTGGTTGTATTTTGCAAAGTAGTCAACATCGGGCCAGAGGCATGCACGCTGTGCTACTTAGATGGGTCAGTCGGCCTATAGGTTGCTAGGCGAGTAGGTGCCATCTACAACTTTTCCTTTGTTGTTAGATTCTGTAAAGTATCATATATGTCTTGAAGTATACTAGATACATGTTACGTTTTTTTATTTTTATTTTAATGAAACCTACACTCAAAAGTCTTCATTTCCTTGAAGTTTGTAAGCATTTTTCACTTACTAGTTAATTTTACCATTTAGTATCTGTAGAACTTAAATTTCTTGTGTAAAAATTACATCAAGAATAAAAAAAACAAAAATACCTAGGAACTGGCTTGGTTCCAAATGCCATTTAGATGTGACGTTGTGTATGTCACGTCCTACATTCATGATCCAGAAGAATGTTGTATTGATCTTGATGCGGTATGAATATTCATTGATCTGTTAATTTATCGGTGAAAGCAGCCAAGTCTGTAGTGCAATCAGATAACGAGTGGTTCTTCTTTTCGCCCCGTGGAAGGAAGTATCCAAATGGATCGCAGAGTAAGAGAGCTACTGAATCTGGCTACTGGAAGGCCACAGGTAAAAACCGGAATGTAAAGTCTGGTTCAAATGTGATTGGCACAAAAAGGACACTTGTCTTCCATACTGGTCGTGCACCTGAAGGTCAGAGGACGGAGTGGATCATGCATGAGTATTGCAGTGATGAAAAACAACCTCAGGTAATGTGGATGCTTGCACTCGTTTAATGTTGGCTATGGTAGTATGGTCTTTCTTTTCCAGCACATAGGGTCCATTTGGAACTCAGAAAATGGTATGGAAAGTAAACAAGAAGGAAAATAGATGAGAAGTTCAGAATGGGGGGGCGATAAAATGCTTGTTCAAACTCAATAAACCAATTTTAGATATCCGTTTTAACCCACTTTACTTATATATTTCTATTATATAACAACTGCAAAATCTAACTATAAATATATGTCAAATTTTGAGAAGTTTCTATTCAAATTTGATTATTCTTCGTATTTTCTAAGGCAAAACCAATCATAATAAAAATTCTTAGCATTTCCCCCCTTTCCCTGACATTTTCTAAGTTACCAAACATAGCTCAACTTTTGGATTGTTTTTCTTTGCACTTGTTTTGTAAATGCAGTTCATGTTCTCAAAATGTTCTCAAGCACTTGCTGTGAATAGTAACCACAATTGTACTGAGAAATCTGAGGTGGATACATGGATTTACTTTTGCATCCCAATAAGTGTGCATTTTTCATGTGTTGTGAGGAAAAGCGTTTACACAATCATTATACAAGTATCACTTGTATCATAATTGTGAGTCTTCTCATGGTGAAAAACATTTGACTGATATCTGCACAGGTTTCTTAAGTGGTATCATTTCTCATGTGTTGAGCATTACTATTTCTTTTGTACCCACAGGACTCCATGGTTGTCTGTCGACTTAGGAAGAACAAGGAGTTCCACTTGAATGACACCCCGAGAAATTTGAACAATCATTCTTCTCCTGATAATATTAATAATAAAACCTATTGTGAACTACAACATGCTGGCGGTGTGACAGATGTCACAGAATTAAGTACGGGGGGCAGCTGCTCAAACCCCTGCTCGAGTACTTTGAATTTTCAATCAGTTAAGCAGATCGACTCTGGATTTGATTATGATCAGACCAATGAAATCCTTTCATCCCATAACCTGGAGGTTTTACATTTTTTCATCCTCCGTTCTCTCATGCAGATCTGTTTACTGACACTATTTTTGGTATTGTTGTACGATGAGTTCTCTTTGACCTAGCAATTGCTGGTCAGGAAAGCTCAAACTTATTTTGAATTTAAAAGGCGGGGAAGGGATTAATCATGTTTAGTGACTAATGTTTTCAAAAGTGCTATACGTTAGGTGATATAGTGATCCTGATCAGTAATACAAAAACACAAACCAGGATATAGTGCATTGTGCACCACTGCGCCCCTCATTTAAAGTATAACATTTTTAAGATGAAATCTTAACTATAACATTTATGACTCCGAAGAGCTATATATATTGGGCATGCTAAGTCAACCACATCGGTAAATATAAAAAACTAAATGGGTTTTTTAGAGAAGTAGTGGGTGGTACTTTTGACTAAAACTTCTGGTAAAAGTCGAAAGGTTCTGATATGTTCGCATTCATGAATTCCAGGACTATGACAATGAAGATGACTGTTTCGTGGATATAATGAGAGATGACATAATAAAGCTAGACGATTCTTCCTTAAGTACACCTCTTCATTCATTGTCAGTAATTAGAAACAAGCATCTTGGACCAGATAAGCAACATGTTGAAGGTTGTGAGCCCCGTTTGCTTCCCCCCCAAGGCACTGCAAATCGAAGATTAAGACTAAGAAGGGAAAAAGTAGCATTCTTTGAGGCATCATATCAAGTTAAGAACATGAAAACACACGCCGAGGAGATCTCCATACCAGATAAAGAGCAATTGCTAGGTCAAAGACTGAAAAGTTTGTTCATCTATGCTCTTATTGTAGTTACCCTTATCTTACTCTTTCTGTTGCTCTCCTCATTAGAGGGATCCCACCTTGTAAAATGGTTTGGAGACTTTCATCTCTGAAGAACATGAGACTTTATTACCAGACTAGAATGTCAGTCATCTTCAATCAAGGATTGGTTGCTTTAATGAAAGTATTACCTTTTCTTAGGATTGACCAGGAGAAGCATATCCTGTCTGGCTTATCTCAACGTTTGATATTTGGCTTATCTCATTGTTTGATGTGTGGGACCCACATCTGGAGTGGTAAGGCCCATGTTTATTTGGCCTTCTAGGGCTTTAGCAGGGTTTAAACTGAGGAGTGTTGTAATTGTTGACAGAAACAAGATTACTGTTGGTGGATTTCTTCACTTATGATGGTAGGTCCCTTGAGGCTTTATCTATAGTGGTATCTCACAATCACTAACCCCTGAGTTGATAGTCAACAATATAATAATAGAACAAAATATGTGGACATTACTAGCTTTAGTGTTGCTATCCTCAAAGGCTAAAGCAACATGCAACTTGATACGAAGTATATGGTAACCAACATGGCATTATCCAAGAGTTTATTTTTATAGATATAGAAGACTTGCATATTCTTTGTCATTTTGAAAGAGGTGTTTGGCCACTTGAAGACTCCAATGATGGGAGGCTTACTTATTTCTACTACTGCTAACTTGCTAAGAGGTATGCGTAATTCATTTTTTCATCTCTGTTTGCTTAATAGGGTGGATTTTTTCTTCCTGGTGAGAAATTGGACTTTGCTCCGCATGGCGCAAAGTCTAATACCACATTATTTGTATTAGACTTCGCACCACATTCATTAGATTTTCACCCCATGATTTAATCAAAATTTGACTTTGCATCCCACTAGGATGCTTGTCCAAAGAAAAGAAACATAGGGTGCAAAGTCAAGCTGAATTCAGGCAACGATTAGTTGAGAGTTAGAACCAGAATACAGTAATACACCACATCTTTCAAATGCCACACCATCATTGCAGGCCACTTCATTCTGTTTTTCGTTGGCAATCCTTCTGATCTGATTTTCCTAGAAAATATTCAACATTTGACCCTACAACTTTTGAGTCATTTTTATTCTTGTCCCTGACTTTCATTTGTTTTACTTTTAGACTTTTAGTGCACAACTATTACCTCTTATCACTTGTGGTTCTTCTGATTATTTATCTGGCGAAGAATCAAACACGAATTGGCTACATAAGTGACCGGGATGACCAAAGGTGTCAAGAAATCTATAGTCAGTACATATATTGAACAAAATGAAAGTAGGAAACCAAAAGTATAAATGAGCTAATAGAAGTAGGACTAAAAGAGTATAAATGAGCTAATAGAAGTAGGACTAAAAGTGGATAATTCTCACTCATATTACAGCCCAAAGAGGTGTGGATCATTATTGCACACTCCGTTTTTTGGTTCATAGGTTGGAAGGAATAGCAGCCCTGATCACTGGTGGTGCAGGTGGCATTGGATCTGTCACAGCAAAGCTCTTCTGTCTAAGTGGTGCTAAAGTCTTCATAGTAGCCGACACCAGAGATGAGCAAAGGCATTCCCTCTGGAAAGATTCACGCCATGCAGACAATCAGTTTGCCCACTGTGATGTCACAAATGAATCAGATGTCCAAAATGCTGTCGTCAACAGTCAGCGCACACGGAAAGCTTGACATAATGGTCAACAATGCTGGAATCACGGGAATCACCAAAGCACCAGACATTCTGGGTGGCGATGTAACTGATTTCACTAATGCCTTTCATGTTAATGTTGTTGGCGCATTTCTGGGCACCAAACTTGCTGCTTGGGTAATGAAAACTGCCCAAATAGGGAGCATAATAAATATGGCTAGTATCTGCAGTATCATAGGTAGAGATGTCAATTGTGACCGAACCGATGGATACCCGCACCGAACCGCCTCGGTCAAAATGGGGAAAACTGCATTGACCGGGTAACGGGTACAGGGCGGGGAATCCCCGTTTTATTTTTACGGGTAATGGGGCGGTTACGGTTTTATACATGTCCGCCCCATTACCCGCCCCGTACCCGCCCCGTTTATTTGTAGTTATTTTTTTATTATATTTTTATCTATTATTTGTCTAACAACTATTAAAGGATGAGATTTTTTTTTCTTTCCATTGTGTATATATAGATAATAGATGTACTAACTATAATGTATGAACGAAAGTTCATAATAGATTTTAATAGTTTTGTTTGATTATTACCATATTTTTTTTGTGATTAATTATTTTTTAGATCAAATATTTTTAGGTTCAAATTAATTTAAGTTGCTTCCTTTCTCGTCTTGCAGATATACGAATCATTAAATTGACATCTGAAATGTAGAGTCGTCTAGGCGATGTCATTCTTCACCTTTTAAAATATTATTTTTATATCAAAATTTAATGACTCAATTAATAAAGCGGTTACCCGAAGTTTTACCCGTTACCCGTTGGAACGGTTATGATTTGGGTAAAAATTACCCGTTGGGTAATGGGGCGGTTACGGGGTGGGGAAATTACCCAACGGGACGGTTACGGTTGTATGTAAAACCGTCCCCGATCCGCCCTGTTGCCATCCCTAATCATAGGTGCCTAATCATAGGTGGGGTGGTGCCACACGGTTACACTTTGATACACCGGAAGCTCAAAGGCTCGTGGTTTATTAATTGGTTACATCAGAACATGGCTACAATACGAATTTAATATATCAAAGCATAATAAACATGGCAAGCGGCACGATCAGTAGCCCTGAGTCAGGGCCCCTGACGCCGGAGTTCCTGCACTTGCATAGTTGCATGTCCACTCAAGTGTGACCAAGCTTGTAAAATCCACAACAAACCGATGGAAGATGAAACTGACTGTACCTCATAGCAGCTTTGGGTATGGCCGGTCTCCACAAAGTCTGGATTCGATGGCCATCCAAAGCCCAGTCATGGCTCCCCAAGCTTCCAGAAAGGCCCTGGTTCTCCACCACCAAGTCAGTGGAGTCCCCGGAGAAACTAGGATCTGCAACCGCCGGCAAGGTTTTCACCCTGGTGGTGACTGAATGGAGGAAGTCGAAAATGAAAAACGGGACCAAGTGCCCCCCCAACGCATTGAACCAGCGAAAAGCACCGGACCAGTCAAAACAATCAGAGAATCCTGGTCTGGCTAACAAAAGTTTCCAAAAATAGCTCAGGCCTGGCTGGGCCAGCCCGAATGTGGGAGGAACTCAACCAGTGACGGATCTAGCAAGAAACAATGAAGTGTTCAAATAATTTTTTAATTACAATTTTAAATAATAATACTGCTTGACCCAACAATTTAAGGCATACTATTTGCTTCAACAACAAAATAAATACTCCGTAGTAGATATTGTTAAAATTAAGAAATAATATATAAAAACACAACATATGAATTATTTCATCAATTATATATATATATATATATATATATATATATATATATATATATATATATATATATATATATAGTCATTCTCCTGTCCAACACTATTCTGTCTGAACGCCGTTCGAACACCGCCGTTTGGGCGGTTCCCGGCTGAATTTTTTGATAAATTTTTTTGAGCATGTTCCTCATCAAGTCTAGTTTATCCATACCAAATTTCAGCTCAAAATTCGATCAGGAAGGCAGTCAAATAATTCGTTGAAGTTAACTGCGCCAAATTATACATAGAAAAACGCAACAGGAAAAACGCAAATTTCAGCTATTATATATATATATATACTAGCCTGGCGTGCGCTTTGCGCGACAGTAGGTGCCCAAGGTTACGAAAAAAACAGGAAATTTGAAGTGTACAAGAACAGATGCAAATATATTACAAAAGGTAGGCGTTAAAACATAGATAATGATGTTCATCACAGAAGCAAGGGAAACAAGAAGTTTAGTTGAAATGTTTGGGATAGTTAGACGTAACAAAATGCTATAGTAGCAGGCAGATTAGGGAAAACATCAAACGAGTGCGAGTCTAAGAAGAGCTAGAACCGTCATAGCATGTAGCGCTACTGATCTCGTATGTGTTGTTGTGTTTTGGGACGTCCTCAAGACCACAAGATGAAATGGCAAGCAGAAGGGCTCTCCCACGCCCGTACTTCAGGAAGAAGAGTGTGGAATGTTTGTTCAGTTCAAAGGTGAGACGGATTTCGTGCAATATAGGGTCTTCCCCAGTTATAAAATAAGCGTCTTCTGTGCCATGATATACCTGCAGGTGACCCCTTGCGTCACTGCATGAGCGCAGGAAAGCTTCACAGCAATTCTGCATAAAAATAACGGGAATGCAATGTATCAATTGTTGGAAAGAGTATATTCAAATATGGAAGTGTAATATGCGGTTATCGCGACAATTTATTTGTTGCACATGTTATTTGAACTCATATGCTTTATGAAAGTGACAATAAGAGGGGATACACAAAAATTAAGTGGGTGTTCTAAATTTTGGAGTTGATGTTTTTGAAACTTGTTGACTGGCGTCATTGAATGCAACGGTAATTGTTTTTCAAAAAGCAAAGGACTCAAATAATAATTGGATGATAGACGTTTATCAAAATAGGACTGTCATGTTTTTTATTCCCAAAATAGGACTAATTACAGGAGTTTGGAAAACTTTTAGTGTGAGACAAAAGGAATTTGGAATACAGTCCTGTTTTGTCCTATTTTTATCCGTCCATCACAGAACTGGTTAGTTACAGGAGTTTGGAAAATGGTTAGTTTGAAACAAAAAGAATGCAAAACAGGTCATTAAGTTTTTGTTGTAGTCTGGAAAGGTGAGGATGATCACAAAACTTCATTCAAAAGTTTTCTATGAGCATTGTGTAGAATGGAAAAATCAGATAATTAAAAACCGGTGAGAACTTTGCGTTGCAAGGATGAGGGGGATAAGAATGGATAAGAAATGGGATGAGAAAATAGGCTATTAAGTTTTTATGTAATATAATGGCAACAGAGTGGATGGAATCATCACATACCTTTGTAGTTCGCTTGGGGACATACAAAAAAGATGGAGGACAATACAACTGTTGGTACGTGCAATTTGGAAAAGAAGACTCCACGTACACAAGGAATTCACCTGTAATTGACATGGATATATATAAGTAGGTAAACCAGGAGAATGTGCAAAAGAATGCAACAAATTAATGAGCAACAGAAATGATAGTGAATGTACCTGGGTTATCGGTACAACTTGAGGAACCAGAGGGTGTTCCAGCTGTATTAAGGGAGAAGCCTTAGGGGTCAAACATCAACATTTGGAATGTGAAATTGCCAGTGTGGTGCAGCAGAACATATGCACCGAATTCGATGTCATTTTCTATAAACAAGTCCGCGAAGCCATCAGAGAAAGAGCAATCGTCAACTGTGACAGTCCATTGTGTGGCTCCATATACAAGGCGAGCGTAAGGTTTGACGTGTTCAAATAGATGCCTGCGCATGCAATCAGGAATTTTCTGGACAAAAAAAGTCAAAACAAAAACAATAATAATGTCAATGGGTATAATCAATAAAAAAAGAAACAAGACTAAATGAGTGAATGCGAAACAAGAGGCATACACCAACTTCGATGTCTGGTGTGTTGAGGAGGAACCAAACCACAGTAAACTGGAGCACATCAGGCAAATGGAAAGAAGCAGAAATCGGGCATTCTACGGAGTTTGAGCAACAACAAAGAAAACACAAAAAAATGATCAAAGAGTTTAAATGTAGTGACCTTGTAAAAATGAAGGAATGCATCATATAAGCAGGAAGAGGAAGTGAACCTGCAATGGTAGGCATGGCTGGACCTCGGTGCACGAAATGGCTAAGCTTATGCTCAAGCTCTGCTTTGTTCCTAAAGTTGGTTGGCAGGAACCTATAATACCCTGAAGCTCGCAAGAATTGTTTCCAATCTAAGCATGTTTCGCAGTCACGCTCTTTTAAATTCGTACGGGTAACAATAACAACTTGAATCTTCCTACCGTGGACGGTGGTCATAAATTATGTAAGCGTCTCATTGCCACAAGGAAGATCTACTGCTTCTACATAACATTTGCTAAACAAATCGATTAAAGCTGTGAAGAATAAACAAAGAACCACAATTAAAAGAATGCAGATAGCGGATGAGTAGGAAATGCAAGCAAGAAATGTAAGAGTCATAATACCAACACAATATTGAGCAACTTTTCACCTGATAATGTTGAGGCAGAGAGACGTGAGAAATAATAGTAACAAAGAAGTCAAGGCAAATGAACCTATTGTTAGAAATGAGGGGGGGGGGGGGGGGGACATAATAGAAAACCAAATAACGGGACATGAAACTCAGGAGAAACAAAGCGTTGAGAAAACTTACCTGAAACCGGATGGACAGATAGCTGGCGAAAGGAATACAGTCTTTACCGGAGAAGACCGGGGGTGAGGAGAGGAAGTGGAGCGTTGGGGAAATTAAGAGACATGCGGGTAGTTGGGATGGACGAATGAAGTTCCTTGGGCGGCGGCTTGTATTTGTCCGTTAATATGGCTGCTTCTTTGTTTCCTTTGTTTACAAGGGTAAGCATTTATCAAGTTTACCATATGCTCATCTTTTAAATAATTTTCAGTAAATATATATTGAACATATTTGATAATTTTAGCTGAGGTGTCTAATTATTCTGCCCTGCATAAGCATAAGCCAGATAATAGCATAGTGGTTAGACAAACATTACAATTTATTTATTGCTTAATAATTAATGTGCCATTATAATCTAATTTTTTGGTTATCAAGAGATTGAAAAGAAAAGCAAAAATAGACTAAATAGATAAACAAAAAGGAAGAGGGAAAAGCAGAAGTGAGAGAAGGTTTACTATCCAAGTCACTACCCCTAAGAGGCTTTATCTTGGTAAACAACTTGTAGTTTAGGAACAGATAAAGTTATTTTTTTCTATTTAAAAATATAAGAATACAGGTTTGGAAAACCAATTAAAATTATAGTACCTCAAAAAGTTATAACCGAACTAAGCGTAGAATAGTTAACTGATAAAGTTTTTAGTTTGTCAGGCAGAATGTTTAAAGAAAAACATGAATTAAACAGGGAAAATAGAAGCATATTTTGTTACTCTTACCAAACGGTTCCCTTACAATTCTAATAGCCATATCATGACCATCCCTTCTAGGAGTCTATCATCGTTGCCAAATTGTTGCATTGTTTTGGGCATAAGTTTTCTGGAAGAAAGGGAGCGGTTTTGTTTTCACTTTCTGTTTGCACTTCTTTTTTAATTCTAATCTCCCAAACAACAAGTGTGTTTTATTTGGGTAGAAATGGAGAGAAAAGCCCTTCCTCCTGTCAAGACTTTCACATTTTACCTTTATGGAAAATTCCACTGAGATTGATAAATTTTGGGTGGTGACGAAATCATTTTTACTTTATCAATTGACGTGACACATAATGAACCCCTTTGTAATATTTTCAATTTTTAATAATCCTTGATAAGAGATGGCTAGTTCTTGGTAATCAATACTGGGATAGAAGCAAAAGCATCAGACCTAAGGTTCCAAAAACATCAAAACAGAGGTTTCTCACCATTCCAAGAAGATACTCTCCATTGCTCAAAGTGGCTATCCTCATTTGCTCAACTGAGCACTTCCTAAAAGTGGGCACGTTACTAATTTTATTTGCATTTCATCACCTGACAAGACAATTTCCAAATACCAATAAAAAGTAAGAATACCATTTTGATGCTTAATAATCAAACTCACAACTTCTAAATCTTAAGACCAAATAATTCTGAAAATGAGAAGTAAGGCAAACAAATTAAAAACGTAAAAGAAGAGCAATAACTGAAGATTAGAAGCTTAAAATAAGCAAACATTGTAAGCTTAAAGAAGTCTAAGTCAATCTTAAAAGAAGAGTAATGCCCCTAGCTCAGAAGCTTAGAATAAGAAGACATGTAAATTGTGATCAAACTTCAAAAAGTTATTGACTAAGATTTGCTTACCTCAGTATACTGAATTCTTTGTTGGACTTTTTTTTTAATAAAATTATTGACTAAGATTTCTTCAGTTTATAACACCAGTTTAACTCAATTGATATTTAGAATTTTGACATCGTATTAAGATTTCTTTACCTCAGCTTAGAAGCTCACTTTGACAAGTATCCCCCTATGGTGACATACTATTATGAAAATAAATGTAAAATTGGATTGTGTGCTATTTAAAATAGGTTTGCTTTGCCGTGACAATTAATAAATCCCAGGGGCAAA